TGTTCCATTTCGGAAGGATCCTGAGCGTAACCGCGGTAATCATTAGAAGCCATGAGCCCGCGATTCTATTTTTTTCTCAATGGAAGGAAGAGACGGCAGGGCATTCATATAAACAGAGGGTGGGCAGTGTAGTTAGCTTACTTCGGAGAGAGAGCCAATCAGATTATAACAATCGCGACTGTTTTCCTTTACAGCATGACATACAACAATACAGGTTCAGCTGCCTGATAAAAATGTGTCATACACTGTCCGACCAGGAGAAACACATATCACTGTATTAAAATATAATTCATACTTGTTATTCTTCAGGTGACGATGCAAGCCGAGTTGATGATGGGCTAATTATTGCATCATTTTTATATTGTATTGTTTTAAAAATATAGAGTCAAAGGACAAGTGAAATTTCTAGCCATTTTACACAACACTGCTGCAGTATATGATTCTTATGGTTTAGAACCACGCGTTTTCCAAACTGGCGTAATTAGTGTGCAAAGCATTTTAGTGATGCGGACCAATGTACATATGAAGCGCACTATGAAAATGAATGGAATTGAACTGGACGATTTATTCATGTCTATGAACTCAAGATCTGTGCCCAAATATGAATTCTAACACGTGTGAGATAACACTGATGGACTTTTCCCTCTCAATCTGTCATAAAATAATACAATGCAATAGTACAACACAACATAATACAATGAAGTTCTTAATTTGAGACGTTATATTGCCAAGAATGATTGCATGGATGGTCGTGAATGCGAGTTATTAACCTGTAATAAAAGTAAATGCACATCCTATCATTTTGCAGATGCCTTTGTGTAAAGCAACGTGCAAATAGGGAAAGTTTGGTTTTAGAGATAACAGGGTCAGATAGGGTCCCAGAAGGGGTTGATGTTAAGGACATTGCTCAAAGGCCCAAGGGTAATAAAATTACTCTGTTGCTCACAGGAGTTGAATCCACAACCATCTGGAAAAAGGTACAGATGCCTTGCAGCCTGATTCAATGTCACAAAGTTCAGTTCACTTATACTGCACATTCACTGTGGTATTGAAATCAATGTGTATGTTTGCATCGATGCTATTTTAATCCTTCAGTCCATTTTATTTCTGACAGCTGTGCATGCAATTTCAACAAGCATCCTAATGCTCATCTTAACTTTGTGTTTTTTCTATTATGGGAGGAAGCAGGAGTACCCAGAGAAAACTGGACACACAAAAAAACCTGCAGACAAACGTAAAGGTACGTAAGTCGTGTACCCCTATGTGTTTATTTATAGGTGCGTAATAAATGTAAGCGCTTGCTAGATGTACTATACTGCCAAAGAATGACGAAGTGTGATAATCTGTGTATTTGGCAGGTGAATGACTTGTTGTGGGTTTTTGCTGAATAAAGAGGGAAGATCAAAAATAATGTCAGGAAACCTGGATAGCCACGACCAAAACAAGGTTTGCAAGCAAGTGTAATTTAAAACTTTAGACTCAGGAAGCTGACACTTTGAAGTCCTTTATGATGATGTTGTAGTTTAAGGGCATAGCCAGCGTGAACTGGCTATTCGGATATCATGTCAGTGCGATACGCTTCCGCAATCTCTCAGTCCATGAGTCATTACCACCCAGCCATTGTCAGCGTGCAGCCTCTCCCTGTTTTGTTTTGGAAAGGACAAAAATTACATAACAAAGCAGGTAAAAGCCTATTTCATATAAAAACACATTATTGCCAGACAAAGCAACAATCTTGAGGGAAGGGAACTTGT